TTGAACTAATGATTAGTATTTGGATTTTGGGTTAATTAACTTAAAAGTAACAATTTGTGTGCATGATATTTCACGCTTGGTTTTGGTGGGCAACGGCAAATGTCTCGCTCACTTTGCCTTTTTTGGCCCTTGGGCTGCTATGCTAAACCACGCCAAATTAAAGTTACCATTTTAATTATTGCATTGTGTGGATATTTTGCATATATATAATAATATATACTAATTCTTTAATTTTTTTCCTTTTTCTTTTTCCACTCAACAATAAATTATAATTATATTACTTATTTGTCTTTTCAATGGTGGTTATTTTAAATCCGGCTCGGACCAACCGGTCCAGTTTTAAGCTAAAGTTGAGTTGCAAAAACCCATCCGACTCGATCGAAACTATTAAAAATTTGTGACCTGAGTCATACGTTAATTTTCTTCTGAATAAAAAAATAAAAGTAGGTAAGAAATTTCTCTTTCTGTACCAATAAATTCCGAATAATAATTGATTATTTTCTACCAAATGCTACAAAAAATTTCAAAGATTTCTTTTATCATTCTTTTCTAATTCATCTAAGTTAATTAAACCTAGTAAAAATTAATTACCGTGCATATGATTTATAATTTATATTTTTCCAATTTGAAAATCGATTCGGGTTTAAAAACATTGCTGTCAATTTGATGCTGAAAATGTTCTATTTTTGTGGTTGTTGAAAGTTGAGAATAATGATTTATATTGGACTTTAGAATGTTTATAAAATACATACTTTTGTCACGTCTAAAAACAATACTGTTTTTAATTAAACAATAACTATGTAAAGTCAAATAGCTTGCTTGGCTACTTTAAGAACTTTAGGATAAAAAGATTCTAAATGTAACGGCAATTAAGCATATTTGAGACAACAAATGGTGCTGCAAATGTGCAAAAGAAATTGTGGGATTTGGTGGTTTGCAGTAGTAAATTATTAAGTTTAATTTAGTGCACTACAAAAAAACACTTCAATTCCAACGAAAAATTCCAACGGCAAAAATTTCTGTTGAAAATTCCAATGAATATTCCAACAAACTTAAGTTTATGTTGGAATAAGTGTTGGATGGTTGAGGAATTCCAACGGATTTTTTTCGTTGGAATAGTTGTAGGAATTTATTTCCATAGGATTTCCGTTGGATTTTAACTATTCCAACGGCTGTTTTTCCCACGAATTTTTATACGTAGAAATATACGTTGGAATAGCTATTCCAACGGCCATTTTTCCCACGAATTTTTATACGTAGGAATATCCGTTGGAATAGCTATTCCAACGGAATTTATAAAGACTTCCAACGGAAAATTTCCGTTGGAATGAAAGAGTTTTTTTTGTAGTGGTGGTAACTTAATCCTAGATATGGCTCATGTTATATGAAATCATCGGATGGTTTTTTTATGGAACCATCCACTACTTAATGCATTGACACTTGTCAAAGTATATTTATTATATGACACGTGTCAATACATTATTTGTGAATAAGTGTGAATGACTCCATAAGTCGAGTCATCCGATAACTCTATAGCAAAACTGATGACCGTGTTATTGCCTTAAAGCAATATAAACCTCCTTTTTAGGTGAGGAGATATTCCTTCACCATTAATGTTATTTCCATTCAAGAGCAATGCACAACATCTTTTGGTAAATATGTTTGTTGGGGCATTTTTGTGGTACAAACTCATGGGAAATGTCCACTACCTCAATTTCTAATGTTTTATTATATTTAATTTTTTTACTCCATATTATTTTTAAGCAACATTTCAAAAGAGGCAATAGTCGTTGCAAATCGTGTTATCGTGTCATGTTAATTAATTGTATTTCTTATTTTATGTTTTCGTATCATTTTTGTGTTGTGTCTTGCTGATCATTATATTTTTTTTCGTTATAATCATATTTTAATCGAATCATATTGTGTCGTGTTCGTGTTTCATGCCATGACAGTCATTGATAAATGCAATTGTTCCATCATGATTTCATTTTTCCAGTCAATAGGTAACAAAAATAAATAGTCAAAATATATATTAAGATCAACCCCATAAAAACTTATTTAATTGGTCAATTTTGGTATTCTTAAGAAAGTGGACTAAATTTGCAAAGTCAACAAGAATCCTCTCATCCATAACTAATGTTTCGACGATCATACTTTTTCAACATGTATGCCTACTTTTAAATTGAAATGTATAACTCCAATAAGTAATATAAACAAAAATATAACATTTCATATAATACTGGTTCAACAACCATACTTTTTCAACATGTATGTCGACTTTTAAATTGAAATGTATAACTCTAATAAACAATATAAGTAAAAACGTAACATTTCATAACTATGCATTTTTTTAAAGAAAATGTTCAATAATAATTGATGGACCATTTTTATATTTTTTTTTTTTTT